AATAAAGTTCTAGGAATAAAATTAATGAGCACATGATGATTTCTGAAATTACAGTTTGCGAGTTTAAATTTTTTTTACAATTTTTTTATCGGTCAAAAACAAACTGCAAGACAATGTTTAGAAAAAAACTATTGTAAATTGTCTGGAGATTGTAACAGAATTCTGAAACGAATGATTTATATGGTGTTAAATTCATAGTAAAGCATTACATTAAACCCCCTGACTACTTATAAAAATATTTTAAACATTTTACTTAAAGCCTTTTTTGGAAATATCCAAATCACTAAAACAATTGGTGTGATCTTTAAACTTTTAATTAAAAAAAATTCTACTACATTTCTAAAATTAGAAATTTGCAAAATAAGATAATTTTTACCCAAATTGTTAGTTACGGAACAGAAAAATATACTCAAGTTTATATACATATTGCCTCTGTTTTACAAATGATAAATACAAGATGAAAAATAAGAAAATTTGAATATTCGTTGAACAATGAAGAAGGAAGGAGTTTCTTTAGGAAGTTGAAAAAATTCTTCGGCATGTTACGTACAAATATAGCCAGTTCTTTGTTTCTATTTCAAAATATACGATTATTTTCTAATATTTATAACATTATATTAAAGCCTACTATTAACATACCATACTGTTCAAATTAATTGGGACAAAAACGTGTTTTTCATGTTTTAGTTAGCATGTGACTACTAGTGATGTCCCGAGCCACCTCAAGCCCATTGTATCTGACTTTAGGTGGTGTTGCAGATCGACTTTGACCATAATTTATCCTTTATGTGTATCAGGAGTTCGTATGTAAGCCTTTCAGTAGGGCATCTTGTAATTTCAATTTTGCGTTCTGTATAACACGTGTTATGCTTACTTGTTCAAGGATAGATATTACTCCGAGGAACCGTTCTAAAGTAAATTGCTCTCAATTAACACACTTCTATGACTGTACGAGATATAACTATGGCAGATGGTGTGATCCAATTAAGTGTTTCAAGAATTTTAAGAACATTTCAAAATTCCGGATCATCGTCTACAAAAAGAAAAGAAAAATGTGGACGCAAGCGAAAACTGCCCCAAGAATTAATAAAATTTTAAGAAGAAATAGTAAAATAAATCCAAGCATAGACCTTTGAAAGGATTTATTGGATAATGGTGTTGAAGTGAGCACTTCAGCTACACGGACAAGGCTTCCGGAAGGCGGCCTTAAGGCAATAAGACTGAGGAAAAAACTATTTCTAACTCAGAAAATGATGAAAAACGTTTAGCATGGGCCAAAAAATACCGATAATAGACCGTTAACGACTAGAAGAGGGTGATTTTGAGTGATGAAACGTTTATTTGTGCATGGATTCAAATCGTGTAGTTTGACGAATTGAAATTGAAACTGTGTTACCAGATTATATCCAACAGACTGTAAAACACTAGTCTAAACAGATGTTTGGGGCTTTTATTTCATACCAAATAGGCCTGCAATCTTAGTTCCTCTTAAAGGCATGATGAATTCTGTCAAATATATAGACATATTATGTAGTAAGATTATTCCATTCATGGAAACATTTGATGGAATATTTCAACATGTCTTAGTCCCTTGTCACAATTCGAAATTGGTCCATACTTTTATACAGGGAAATAAAATAAAGGACTCAATTGGCCTGGAAATTCCCCAGATTTAAATCCTATTGAAAACTGATGGCATATTCACAAGAATGGTGTCGCTAATATGAATCGCACGACAACAGAACAAATGATAAAAAGGGCTATACCAGTGTTATAATGAAATTAAGAAATGTGTGCTACTCTAGTCGAGTCAATGCCAAGACGTGTTGAAAATGCAATTCATGCTAAAGGAAAACATACAGTAAGACCTCGCTTAATGCTGTTTCGTTTAGCGCTTTTTCGGTTTAACGCTCTTTTATTTGAATTGTGGGATTTCCCGAATTTACACACAGCAGTAGCGTTCCCGATATCCGAAGCAGTTTATTTGTGTTTCTTCTTTCCAGCGGTCTTATACGAACGTATTTTTATCGTTTCAACATTTGTTAACTTTATTGTAAGTAAAAATTTATGTAATATAACAATTGCTATAGTGATAAATATTATGTTTTTTTAATTCTTATCATAGGTCAAAGGCAAGGTTATGGATGCCTTTCCATTTACTAACAACTTTTCACAGAGCGCAAAAGGAAAACGCAAATTACATTAGATGCCTTCTTGATAAAAAGGCAGAAAATTGGAAATACAGAAGATACTGTATGATCTGAAATGTAAACATACTGACTTAGAATTTTATTTGTTTTTGTATGTTTATTCACTTATTATGTTTCTATATTTGTAAGAAATACATTTTTGTTTCATTGTTATAAAACACATAATTAATAAATTTAATGGTAAAATACCTGGCCAATTTTCCACCCATCTTCCCCTAACCCCATTTTTTACATGATGAGATGACCTCGTTTAATGCTGTTTCATATTACGCTCTACTTTGATAGAACGTATACCCCGCGTTAAGCGGGGTCTTACTGTACTTTGTATTAATATACCGGTTTTTCTGTTAAGTTTCTGGTATGTAATGATAATGTTAAGGTTTTTAGAAAAAAATTACTTTTTTTCCATTTGTCCCAATTAATTCCAACAGTATAGTATTATTCTGTATTTTAGTTAATTTAGCTCTAGTTTGCTTATTAGTTACGAACTAATTACGTTATTTTTTTCTTATAAGAAATTATTAAATCACCGAGACCTAAAATTTACTTCCAGCAACGCAGTGTGGTCAAAACAAGGCTTACAAATGAAATTCTTTGAAACATAAAATTTCCTTTCTTCGTTCGTACGAAGTTGATTTATTTTAAGTGAACTTATTGTTAAAATTCTAAGCACGATGACAATGAAAAATTGAGAAGCGTTGTTGGTTTAATTATTAATCTTTATTAATAATACATTTTTGCTTTCTTAGAATATCAATTTAGCCAGTTCATGACTTATTTCCCTACATTTATTTTAAATAAAACGCAATTTGTTCTGCCCGTCAAATGGCAACAAAAGTTCACTGAAGGGTATTAATTGTGTTATTTTAATAATTTCAGTGTATTATGAATGAAAATGTCGTTGGACTAATTTTTTACATAAACAACTTTATTTAAGCTTAAAATAACTTATTCTTACAGAATAATTTTTAAAAATATTCCATACATGAATCCTACTTGTCAACGTCAGGTTTGAGTGTCCCTCAACTGGACTTGTTCTTGGTCACTTTTCTTTTGAATAAAACTACAGCAAAAGAATTTTTCAATGCATCCGGTCTTAGATATTCGTATAAAAACTATTTGTGTTGAAAATGCATCTCTACAGCTTTACGCTAGAAATCAATTCTCACTTTTTCTTGAATGCGAATTGCATTTATTGAAATCTTGTTTCTCAACTTTTTAATATGTTTCGACTTTGTGAAAATAACTATTATTCTCTTTGAGAGAAAAAACATTTAAAATGTTATTAAATAGAGCATCAGTGTATAATTTATTGCTAGCTTTCTTCTGGGAAATTTTGTTACAAATTTTATGCACAATAGTAATTACCATAAAAGCAAAACTTCAGGTTTTTTTTTCTCTTTTTATTTTTGTTAGAAATTCACCGCCCGTTTTACAGGGTATTTTAAGATATTTTATAACTACATAAATTTTGCAAGCTATTGATATCTAAATAAAAGCAATAAGATTTTGATTTGATTAAAATACATTCTCTGTCAGTTATATCCTCTTAATTTAAAATGGAAGTATAATTATCTTAATCCCCGTAACTTCACCTCTTCAGAGTTGATATCCGCGAAAATCGCTCTCGTTAGATTTATCCTCAACATAAACAATTAAAGACAATTCCTACTGAAGTCAACAAAATAAATAATTAATATTTTAGTTACTTTGTATTAAATAATTACAACTAAGATAAATAAGTATATACATATGACAGAGTCACAATATTAAATGGCAAAATAAAAGGCAATTTCCTTACAATTATTTTTTTATATATTAGACTAGCTGGTATACCCGTTCTTCGCACGGATGAATTGAAAAATTAAACAATACAGATTGAAGGATAAAGATTTTAATGAGTTAATTTTACGTGAATTGCGCATTAAACAAAAAAAAACAAAACAAAAAGAAAAAGCTTTTTGCATATTTCATCTGAACAACAACAATAAAAAAAAATGTTTGTTAAATCTTATATCTGTAGATATAATAGCTGGCAAAAAGGATTTTTTTTTATTTATAACTCCCCGCAAATTAAACAAATTTTTTGAATATCTCAGCTGAACATAAAAAAACATATTTGTTAAATTTTAAGTCTGTAGATCTAATAGCTGATAAAAGGGTTTATTTATTTATACCTCCCCGTAACTCTCTTCTCAGTCAGTTTGATCATCAAAAGCAACAAAAAATTGTTACAAATTTTGTGTAATGAACGCTTTTAAAATAGTGTAAATAATTTATATCTGGGAGTGTAATACGTTAATATCACTTTCTGTTGTATTTATTTTATGTTAAAATCTTGCCACCACCTCTCCCTTCGAAACATAGTTTTATTATGAAATAAAAAAATAGTGATTACTCTGATCAAAGGAATAAATTGAAAGCGAGTACGCATTGAGTCGTGTAGACAAAACAAACAGGGAAAGTTTTTATTCACACAAAAGAGATAAATTTATGCTGTCGTGGGCTTTTTTGCAAATGGCAGATTTTTCCCTCTACATTTTTGACAACTATCGTCATATTTTGCAGACTTCACACAATATCGTTATAAAGTATAGCCTATTTTTATTTTGATGTATAAGCTATATCATTGCAAAGAGTTTCTTTAAAATCCATTCAGTTGTTTTTGCGTGGAAGATGAACAAACCTCCAAACATACTTTCCCCTTTATTTTTTAGTAAGTTTGTTGGACTATTACTTATTGTTTGTTACTATTTATTCATTCATTAATTACATTCTCAGAAATAAGGCCATCCCAGGTAGGATTTAAACTTACGACCTTTGGATCAGAGGTCCGAAGCGCTATCCATTGTGCTCCTGGGAGACAACAAGCGATTTTCCTTGTTATATATGGTGTTGGACTATCATTTTTGTTGGTTACTAATTATTAATTATTTAATTAATTAATAGTTGAAAAACTATATTAACATTTTTTTTATTTCTAATTGGCTGCGAATTGATCTTAAACCATTGCAGACCTAGTACATCCCCCGGAAGCTGGTATCACTTTTTAGTGCGGTGCCCTATAGTCGGATACCAATCGCCGCAGGTAATTTTGACGCCCAGTTGCCTCCCTAGAGGGAGGCATCTGAGCTCTGACGTTGCGAACCTGTACCAGGATTTAATTTTGCCTAGAGCATCCAAACCAAATAGACACTCTAGAGATCTTTTACATGTCATATAATCATACGACTTGGCCGCTGTCGATTTTCTGTATCATGAAAATCCACCGACTTGGGCTGGGGTCGAATCCGCAACCTTGGGTACGGAAGGTCAGCGATAAACCAACCACGCCACTCTGCCGGCAAACATCATGTGTCATTCACTACAAGTTTAAAAAAATGTATTTGAACTTGAGTAGATGAATAAAAAGTACTGCATTACCGATTGAAAACTTGAACAAGATATATACATATAAATAAATATAGGGAGAGTTTGAACCAATATTAGGAATTGAAAACTAATTTCTCCTAATTTCAAATATGTACGTCTTATAGCTCAAAAATGGATTTTTTTTATTGATACGTGTTTGTACAACCCCCCCTTCCCGCTTCTTCCCTTTGGTAGTCGAATTTTGTAGAACATGTTCTTATATATACCAAATCTCTTTTCAACAGAAGTTAAACATAATTATCAAATTTTAAAACTGTAGTTCTGTAGTTTCTTAAATGATAAGTAGGTGAGTCGGTTTACACCAATGTATTTATAAAAATATTTGGAAGTATTGAAATGTTCTCTTTATGGAATACTGAGAAGTATGATGAAATTAGACGGTGTTAATTAAATTCCATTATTTTTATATAACATGTTATGTTCGGCTGATATATGCAGGATAAGAAATAGTTAAAAAAAATTTTTCCAATTCATGCGTAGACATTTTATGTAATTTGTGTGTGTGTTTTTTTTTTCAATTCATACTATTAGTTCACAATCTCCCTATATCTTGTTCATATTTTCAATCGTTACTAAAATACATTTTAAAGCGCTCAATTGAGCTGAAATTTTTTATATACTATTATTTTGGATGACAATAGAGTAATTGAATCATAATTAATAAAAATGATTAAAACTATAATTATACAAAAAATTTACAAATACAACCACGTTGGCTTTTTTTTCGTGACTTGTGTCGAAACTTTAAAAAGGGTTTTTCTCACATTTTAAAGCGCTCATTTGAGCTGAAATTTTCTACATACTATTGCTTTAGGTGACAATACGATAATTTAATTATAATTAATTAAAATCATTTGACTGAAACCAATTCTTTAAAGAAATACAGATACAGCCACGTTGGCTTCATTTTTAGCGAAAACCTTAAAAGATTGGTTTTTTTCCTCTCGTTTCAATGCATTCATTTGAACTGAAATTTTATATACATGATTGTTTTGGATGACTTAACGATTTTGATACTTTAAGGATAATTAATAAAAATTAACTGCCACTTAATATTGTGATTCTGTTATATATGCATATACATATTTATATATTAATTGTATTTATTTAATTAAAAGTAACTAAACTAAAATTTTTCTGTGTTGATCTAAGTAAAAAATTAACCAATTTTACAACACTATCAATGACTTTACTTTCAAATTTATCGGAGAACAATTCTGGTAGCTGGTTACCCTTTCAATAGGATTGAGAAGCATAAGGTAACAATCGAATTAACAGAAATATTGTCGGTTGGTTCGCAATATAACGGTGAATTTTCTCTCATTTCTCTCCAAAGGCAGTTTAACTATCTTGTTCAAAACTTGTTAGTAGCCATACAATTCGGAGTCATTCTTCCGCTTAGTCTCACGAGAGCGTCTGTGATGATTGCATGTCAGAGGGCAAATATTTGCACGGACAGGGAATTTGAACATTGAATCCTTAGGAATGAAGAAACATTTTACATGAATTGAAGAGACCAGAAACATGTTAATACATGCCAATGGTCCTATGTATTAGTACACAAAACCTTTTCAGCGATAGATCATTTTTGTCTGCTGAGTTATCTTAAATTGGGCGTGGATGACATTATTGTCAAGGAACTGTTTATGCAGACTGAAATGGCTCAGCTATTACGTGCGATACGGTCCCTCAAAGGCCAATGTTACCACGATTTCCTTCAAAATTGATGAAATCAGAAAGTCTAACGGAAAGAGGATTAAAGCAGTACTCAAACTTTCATTATTTGCGACCGAATATTCAATCATAATTTGCATCGCGTCCCCCTCAATACAATAACTATGTATTGAATTCAATAATATTGTACCTTGACGCTGAAGCTACAGTACGACTTAACCTCGCGAGCCACCGGCGTATATAAACGTCTCACTCAGACAAAGCGTTAAATTCCTGACGTATATATACGTTTTTCAAACTACGGACTTACCTGTGCACTGCTATTCATAAAATTATTCCAAAGGCTTTGAATGTTAGAATAAGAACCTTGACAGTGTTTGCGAAGGATTGAATTATATATTTCAGATAAGGTTTTACTTATTTTTATTCCTTTTCATCCGCCCAATACAAGACATATGCGCGCCTACGTGGAAAACGGACCGAATTTCGTAACTTTTGGTCGGAAGTATCGAGATTAATTATAAACCGTACAAATTATCAAGATAAGCGTTGATTTTTGTAAATTTAATACCTAACCTTTCACGTCTGGAAATTCGTGATATGTTAAGGAGAAAAGAATAACTTATTTGTTAATTTCCGAGAACATGTAACAAAAATGTATCACGGATGTAAATTTGATGTACATATTTATCATTATTTTGTATTCAATAGTGCGTTCACCACTTAAATAAATGTAATCAATAACCATAATGATCCATCTCAAATTTTCCAGAACATTATAATTACAATATTTTAATTCAATTAATACCATCTAAATTAATTTTAAAAATTTTTTATGAAGCTACCTTAATTGTTTTCGGAAATTCATGAAACCTGTCCGCTTCAGAAAAGTTACAATTTTGATCCTAACTATCATTACAGTTTCATATTTTTCAAAACGTTTAAATATCTACATCCTTAGATCAAAGAGAAAATGAGTATCTTCTCTAAGAAAGAGTTGTATACAGCTCCTATTTAATATTTTTAAAAATTATAAGAATAACAATGATAATAACTAATACCTATGTTAAATTATATCTTACTGAAATAACCATTCAAACTACCATAATATTGTTCTCCGATAAATTTAAAGATAGAAATATTGGTACATTAGAGAGTAATGTAATAAGATCTCGATATTTAAATCTGTTAAAATCAATTATTTGGAGCATAATATACAAAAAGGGTGAAATTGAAATTCTTAACATTTCTACATCCAAATAGGGAACATTATTTAATTGTGCCTTATAACGTTTTGCAAACATACGTAGAACATTTTATGCGAAACCCTTATAAAATCAATGAATTTACGTGAATTTCATCAATATCTTCTAGAATTTCAACATACTTCAAATGGTCAAAATATTTGTTTTCCTCAGACGTAAGAATTAAATATAATCTTGATGTGACTGCTTTGTAAAAACATTCCAATCACTAAAAGGTTTATTAAAAAATTGTTATTATTATGCAAAGAATTTGAAACGAAATTTTAATGAAGTTACATTCAAAATTATACATCGATTTTGGTTTAATGGTACAAATCGATTTTTTCAAAAAAATAAAAATAAAATTAAAAAATACTCGTTCTCAAAATGAGGAAACACTGTAAATAGGGAAAAACAATTGATATTTAAAAAATGCAATTATACTAACCAAACAGAGCAGGAAAATAATGTATAACTTAACTTTTTAATTATTCTTTGACTGATAAAAAAAAACAGAAGGGGAAGTCAGTGAAACCATTCTGCTGTAATTTCAATCAAATTAAAAACAATCCAGGGATAAATAAGTTGAAGGACAACTCAACTTGTTGACAGGTATAATTCATACATGGGATATTTGAGATATTTCCTGTATAATGATAATAAGTTTGCTTTTAGCTTAAATGAAGTTGTCGACTTAAACATTAGCTCAACTACATTTTCATTCACAATGAAGCGTGAGGTTATTAAAATAAAACAATTAATATCCATCAGCAAACTTTTGTTGCTATTTGACAGGCAAACAAATTGTATTTAACTTACAATAAATGAAGAAAAGGGTTCTTGATATTCTAAGAAAGAAAATGTATTATTAATGAATGAATAATGTTTAATGCAACTGCTTTTTGCCACTTTATTTTATAATTGTGCAAAGGATATTATTTAAGAAAATTCACCTAAAATAAAAAAAATTAAAAATCGGAACAACGGAGAAAAATATTTTGTTGAAAAGTTTTATGTGTGTAGCTCATGATTAGAGTAATAGGAGTAAATTTTTAAGTTTCAGTAAGCTAACTATTTTCTTTATGAAAATATTAAAAACGTAACTGATTGAAGATTATATTTATATATAATTTTAATTATAAATTAATTATAAGTTAGAAACAAAATATGTTTCAATGAATAATGAAAATCCTTTTAAAAAGAATGTATTGCATGTTAAGTTCATAAAAAGTATTTTCGTTTATACTTTAATTACTGTAATGATTTTATAGTTATTTTCATGATCAATGCACATTACAACTCTGTAGCTTTCCATTTGTCAACATAATTTCTGCATGTTTAGTAAAAAGTTAAGTTAAAAAATAAAATATACATAACTAAACCAGTTTGTACTATGCAAGAAAAATTTAATACAACAAAAAGGAATTTCAGAATAAATACGCATTCGTTTTACAGCAAAAATATTTTACAAATGCTTCACCTCAAAATATCTCCTTAAATTTCTTAGAATAAT